GATAGCTGAAGATTTTGATTTTTCCACAAAATTTTCCTATATTTACATTTCAAGTCTTCAATTTCTTTTTTGGAGTTTGCAGTGAATTGGCCAATGGTTTCATTTTCGTTCAAATACGTTATTGGTAAATCATTTATCGAAGTCGTCTATATCATCGTCAGGTTCTGTATTATCCCCGGGTAACTCGGTGTGTGATCCGCTTATTGTAGGATTAAAGTTTTCTGAAAATTCTTCCTCATCACTACTATTATCATCTAAATCATCTTCGCTCTCGGAAAATTGATTAACTAAATTAGTTATCATTTCGTCATTTAAATATTTAGATTTAAATAACATGGTTTATAGCTAAAAACAATTTTTTTAACTAGTTTTACTGTGAAATTGCATATACATATGGGGTTGTTCTTTGATCTTGTTCGTTGCTGTCGTCTCACTTATTATGGCGACTTTTACCTATTTTTTGGAGATAACATATGTGAAAAATTAAAAAAACTTGGTTCTCTCATATATGATACAAAATGCATAGTAGGGCTAAATAGGTGTCAAACTTATTTCTTAACAATGACAAATGCGCGGCAATTATAGAAAGTATGTTAATCTTTGGTTGTACTTGGTTATCTACGATTAGAGTTTCAAAACAGTCATATTTACTGTTTAAGATAGAATTGGTGTTTAAAAATAGTTAAACACCCACCAACTAATTTGAAAGAACATAGCCCTTAAAATCTGACTACTCCCAATTACTATATCTCTGTTGTAGAAGAATAGAGAGATTTCAACGAGAGATTTCATGCCGCCAATCTTTAGGCATCTAAATAAACATGTCCACACAAACAAATACAATTAAGTTGAGTATCGATCGACTAGAAGCTTAAATCGGAAGCCATCAATAGCGCTTAAATTGGAAGCTTGAGTTAAACTAGTTGTAAAAAGAAAAGGTTATATCGTTTACCAACAATAAATATGTAAGACAATTGGCCAAACCTCTACCAAAACAATTGTGTTTTTTACATCCTCTAATCCTTTGACGCCCACACGTACGTATTCGACGTACTAGCTCCCATGGTACAATGAATACAAGGTAGGCTAACTTTGAAAAAATTGCAAGTATAGAGGTCCACCTGTTTGGCTTGTAATGTCAGAATTGCTATCAAAACAATAAAAAAGCAAACAACTTGTTGCATTGATTTTAAATAAATAAATAAAAACCGCGAAAACTGAATAAAAGGTCAACATTTCTTTTCAAAATCATGTTCTATATATATTTATTATTGAAAAGAAGACACACACATAAGCAAATGAAGTTGACATATTAAGCCAGAAAAATAAAACAATTGAAATCATATGGTAGTTCTGCCTTGAATTCATTGTACCATGCTAGCTCCATTGGGAGAGGTCGCCGGCACTTGATTCCCAGAGTCTCTATAGTGTGAACTTAACATTAGTCCTTCAAGCCGGATACGGTCCAGACTCTTCATTAATATTGATCCTAACAAGCCTGTTATTCCACCCTCATTGGTGTATTTTGGATTTATTTCAAAAATACAGTCCACAACATCGCCTGTTTGCATCAAACTTACTTCGGTACTTGTAGTGAGCAAAACAAAAATAACAAGTGTTTCGTTTGTTTGTGGCCGTCATAACAACAAATCACGTATTCATTGTTTCGCGATCGCTCAAAATCCATTAGCGGACAGGACAGCGGAAATAATAAAATCAAAACCAAATTATTAATTTTGCTTCTTCGGCTTGGTTCTTATTATTCTCTAAATTCGTAATCAATATTGTTGACATATCAACAATTTGCTGTGTTACAATTTTAAATAGCATACATCAATATTCAATTCTCATTATTATTTTCTTTTCAGGCAGCACCAAAAAATACACAAAAATGTAATCATATTGCGTAAATACAAAAATTTGTGCAATTGCACATATCGTGTGTTGTTCATGTGTAATTAGTGGCATGTACAATTCATTTGTTTTACTATTTTAACACTTTTTTACAGTCCTCCCTTCCCAAATACTAAAGCAGAAAGAATTTTTAGGTAATAATTTTTGGGACAGACAAGAAGCGAACATGATTCTCATTTACTGGAGAATGTTTAATATTTAAAGTGCTTATTTTTCACCAAAGTCGTCACATCAATAGCCTAAAAAAGTTATTCATGATATTGGTTGCGATCAGCTAATGTTGCAAAGCTGTCATTTTCGTTTTGAAAAACACAAAGCCAATAGGGGCATACCCCAGACTTAAGCAATCGAATATTTAGCACTTAAAATAATTGCAAAACAACATTTAAGAAACACACATAAAAATATTTTTATACCATAAACTGTGGTCAGGTTTAGACCCATATTTCCTTTTGATTATCTACATAGAATCACATTCTTAGTCGATTTATGAATATATATACTTACATACGTCTGTGCATGTATTTGTGTAAACAGAGTACTGGTCGCATTTATTGCCCGATCAATATGAATCTTTGCACAAAACATTTTTTTGTTCCAAGGATGAATTGGAGATAATTGGTCAAAATTTAGATGTAGCTCCCATATATATCTTCGCCCGATTAGCCTCTTATTGTGCACCAAATGTATACACTGAGCTTAGAAAAAGTATGTCAAATTCGGTGGAAATCGGTTCAGATATAGACATTGCTATATCGGCACCGCCCGACTTTGGCTTTTCATTACTGGTTTAACTATAATTTGATATAAAATTAATTTACGTTTTTTTGGGGTATATAGTTACTTTTGTTAAAAAAAAGTAACCCTAATCAAAAAAAATGTTGATGCATGAGTAATTTTTCCCCAAATGTGTAATATGTTCACCCTCCGTGCGTAATGCGCAGTTTCCCTGGTGGCAAAACTAATATAGCTACTCTTTTTCTCGTTCTTCCAACATGATGAAGGAAGACGATTTGGATTTTTATGTATGATTTAGAGGTTAGGATTGAGGAAATTTGAAAATTGTGGAAATCGGTTGAGGAAAAATTAAATAACTGCCTTTAACATATAGAAAACCCCGAAGATATCGGTTATAGCAAGTTTCACGTTTCTTCCAAAGAATATATAATTTGCGCTTCTGCAATTAAAAGATTATCATCCAAACTTCAGTGTCGTAGAGAAATGTCATCGAAATCATCTCTAAATTGTTCGGTCGTTTCGTTATTGGATTATCCCTGTGAAATCCTGTCGGAAATGCAGCCTCTCGATGTTACAGACAAAAACCAGAGTTCATCATTTCACACTTCTCTTGACGGAGGAGCACAAGCATCTAGCTCTTCAATATTAGGTGTTGGGAATTCTAGATTAGACTCGAATTTTGTAATAAATCCTCTGAATGTAGATGACTTTCACAGTTTGGCGATACCTCCGTGTAATATTGAGGTGTTCGATGGTGGTATTTTGAATTGGCCCACTTTTAGAGATTTGTTTAGTGGGGTTTTTATTAATAATACTCGATGGATAGACATTGAACGTCTGTTTCATTTTCTCAATAAAAGTAGTGGCGACGCTCGAGAGAAGTTACCTTCAACTAATCGGAGTTTTGAACCGTTGTGGAAAGCCTCGAATTCCACTTACAATAATCTACGGTTGCTTGTAAATTAAAGTCATTGCTTGCGCATCCTGTGTTGGAACAGGAATCTAGTTCGGGACTAAAGTTTACACAATGCATGATTAATAGTTGTCAATGTCAATTTTTAATGTACCAACGGATAATTGGGATCCGATCGTTGAATTTATTTGTCTGCAAAAATTGTCATGCTTTGTGGGAGCAAAGTGTCTCTTTCTTTCGAACTCTTCTGTGTTTGCATGAAATGAGGAATGTTAACAGCGATATCAAACGCCATGATTTCTATAGCTTAGGTGTGACTTCTAAGTGATTTGCGAGATATTTTTTGCTTACAGGGAAATGAATACAATGAGTATTTGTGTTGGTGTGAGTGGCAGGTGGATATCGCAACTCGCTACTTACAAGTAAGCAGGATAATATTGTGCATATGTATGCGCCATATACTCTCTTCCAACTTTAGGAGTTATTAAATGGTATGACTGTGCTATGATGTAGCCTGTTTCTATCTTCCTCTTAATTGTGATTTCTGAGATGATTTAAGATTATATCCAATTTGTTTAATGTTATAATTACTTTTTTATATCTCGTCTTTTCGCCTGTCTTATTTATATATTTGCTTCGAAATATAATGAAAATGTAATATTTACGTGTAAAAGTTGTTGTCTAGCAATGTGTTAGGGGGAGAGGGAATGAATCGAGACGCAATGTTGTTGAGTGTTTGACGAGAAATGATTCTTTATTCAATAGAAAAACTAAATCTAGCCTTAACATCTAACACAAAAATGCACATGAGCATGCACTCCACGCACAAAATACGTTGCGGGAGAAACGAAACGTACCTAGTGTGTGATCGACCCTTTCTTATCTTCTATTTATGGCCGTGACATTTATTACATCATTTGTTACCGACCAGAAACCTAGCATATAGAAAGCACATGCATCTTAAGTGTTTTCTTTATTTAACTAATTTGCATTCTTCGGAAAAGACAAATAAAAATGTGATAAGAATTTAAAGAAGTATATTAAACATACAAATTATTTATACAACAAGAACAGTTTCTACAAAATTAAAAACAATGCGTTTGTAGTGATGAATTATAATTCAGAGATTTAATATTCTCTTACCTTTGTTTTATCTATGCAAGCGAACATTGGAAAAAAATTAAAAAAGAAGACAATTATTTTTAAAATTATTTGAATAACTGTCTAGGAAGTGAACTTTGTGGTTATTAGAAGTAACCCTGTGTGCGCTATTTAGTCACGATTGAAATGATCGCAGGCGTGGTTCATTTCTTCCTGGTGATGATCGCTTACATGAAGATAAAAGTTCCAAAAATTAGGTAATACTTTATGATTTAATTACATAAATAAAGTAATTACTTACTACAAGAGAAACTCTCCGAAAAAAAAACAACTATTTCATAATATTTTCTCACAAATTTATTTTATGCAATGAAACTCTACATTAATATGTTTTAGATAGAATATACACTTACAAGTAGATTGGTCAAATAAATATTTACATTACTTAGTTGGAAAACAAACTTAGAGAACTTTAGCATATTTCTGGTTGATATAAGCCTTAGTGTGATAGTTATGTGGTCGAATTGATGCTGCTAAAGTTTGAATTAATTGGTGTTCTCTCTTACTGGAGGATTCGAAGTCCAGACATCTTCCACTAAAAAATAAAGACAAAAACAAGGAAATAGCAGTTAATACTTTAGCTCAAAGTTATATATATATATATATATATATATATATATATATATATATATATATATATATATATATATATATATATATATATATATATATAAGTTTTTAATATGGTAAAAATCGTTACAAAATTTTCCAGTCAAATGAGCAGTAATTTGGAATTTACTGTATTTTGTACACCTCATGATTGAGGCCTGAATGATTAAAGAATAGCCTAAGTTAATTATTTTTCAACCCATTAACACCTTAGATTGTGCATAATAAGTCCGCCAAAAGGTGGCATTTAAATTGTAAGTTGGAGACCCCATAAAATCCATATTTTTCATCATAGTATAATTCAATGACGATTCAACACATACTCGGTCCCGTGCTACTTTCTTATATTTGTAATTTTTTAATGTTTCCACAATTTATTTCATATAGATGTACATCCCAAATCTACGTTCCCAACCAATATTCTCTTGGGGGTTACAAATTCAAAATTATACAAAATTTTCTTTTCTGACCACACATTAGATGTGAAAGTGGACTTGGGGATACTCCAATGTGGGGACTTTACTTAAATAAATTCCTATGTGGCAATTATCTGTATGATGGTTCCCTACCCCAGGGTAGCATAAACACAATTTTTTAGCCAAATCAATTGATAAATGTGGTCAAGAACAATATGGGCCCTACTCTGAAAATTTCAAATTTTATGCGAATAGGTTCTCTACCCCCTTAGAAACAAAGATGCCAAATAAGGGCCAAAAAAAAATTAAAAAAAAGTGTTCAAGACCCCAAAAATAGCTTAAATCATGCGATGGTTATATAAATATGAAATCGGGTTGTACCCTTATCTGTGAGTTATGATCGATATCATGACCTGCAATAGCTATTTAAGGTATCTTGAATGTTTGGGAAGAATTTCTGGGAGGATAGAAATCCTTTTCTTACAAAAGTCCAATTCGCTCTACTATTTTGCACCCTTTATATTTGGTATTTTTACAGATTCTACTCCCAAAGAATTTTGAATTTTGAGCTCTTATTGGACGGATTATTTGTTTATTTAAATGTGTTCGCATCTTCCAGCTGAATCACGATGTAGGCCCTGGAGTTGAAAGGTAGATGTCAGTTAACATCGTATTTCGCAATTATTTTATTTTCTTTTTGGTGAAAAATTATATATATGGTAAAAAATATATTTTTTTTGTTCACAAAAAATTCACTGAATATAATATGATAATACAAATTGAAAAAATTGACAAAAAAAAAAGAATAACAAAGTAAAAAAATATTCAACTTTTTCGCTGATTTTTTACTGCAAATTTCGATATCATCTACTCTGTTTCGCCACCAGAAATCAAGTCAGTTAAAGAAATTGGTATTAATATTCGGATTCAAAATTAAAATATAAAAAACACTACAAATGTACATTAGAAAAAAAAAGTAAGACAAAATGGAAAAAAATATATCATATATATAATATATCAAATTGTTACGAGATTTTTTTGTATATTATCCTTTTCGGACAGGAGACAATTCCGAATTTGTATGAATCGTTAATATCAGTCCAGCGGTTCTTAAGTTATAAGCGTAGAAACTAACTAACTTACTAACTAACTTAAGATCTTTCAATACAAAATTTGAAACAATTCCAGTATACATCCAGATATCGAATATTGAGTAGTACCGTTATATACGATACAAAAACGTGACCCATTTATGAACTTAAACTGCCTACTGGCAAAATACACATGTATGAAAGATTTTAGCTTTCTATCTCACTTCGTTCGAAGTGATTACAACAGACAGACGTATATCGTTTAATCGACATAGATTCTTACGTTTTGTTGGGTCTGACATGAGTGTCCCGAGCAGTTACAAACGGAATGACAAAGTTAATATACCCTTCATAGAATGGTGGAGAGTATAAAATCTAAGGTACCCCATCAACTCCAACAGATTTTGGCTTACGAATTTGTGAGATCCTGTATTAAAAAGAATAGTTATGATCATCAATACTCCCTAAAACGCCTCCAAGCATTGGAAATCATTGCGTTTAATTTCTTAGAAAAATACTTTCTACACTTGCAACGAATCACCGACTTCGCTCTGTTCCGATAACGACAAAAATGTTCCAATTATCATTGTTTTTGTTGTTCAGGTAGGCCTTAAAAGCCAAATCACGAAGTGATCGAGAACAATAAACTGATCAAATTATCATTAGGTAGCATTTTTTGCACCAAATTAACAAATGAAAACAACCCCGAAACAAGTTTTGATATTTGAGAACATTTAATATCAACATCAACAACATTCAAAATATTAACATTTAAGGCCGATTGATAAGAAAAACAAGTTAAAAAGCAGATAACAGTTAAACAGATAAAACAATTGTTAATAATGTCGCAAAAATCATGAAAATACCGAATATCTGTCTATCTATACTAGAAAATGGATCTATGTAGACAATTCTCTTCGTGGGGTAAAGTACTCAGAAGGAACCCATTGTGTGGATTTTAAGAAAATTCCATTTAAAATTTTGGCTGAAATCATCAAAATACAGAATATCGGGGGTACCGTCATATGGGGGCGTGGACCGACATCTTCGAACTTGACCTGCCTGCAGACAAAAGACATATCTGTGCAAAATTTTAGCTTCATTCAATTTCACGCTTATCAAGAATATATATACTTTGTTACGTCTAAAATTATTATTTCCATGAGTTACAAACGGAATAACGAACTTAATATACCCTCCATACTATGTACGGTGGAGGGTATAACAAACCAGGCCAGTCAATACAAGAGTAATCTCGATAAACAATAACATCACAAAATGTATTATCACCAATATTTAAAAGGCAAAATTAAGTGAATATTTTTGGAATGATGCAAAACTGACAAACTTAAATGGAAACAGACTGAAAGGATAGACAAAAATTTATGCTGATCAAACATATTAACATTGAAACCTCGCAGCTGATCAAATATTGCAAAATGAGATAAAGTTTCTGTACTAAAAAATCAAAGGATCCATCACACACCACCCTCTTCCATGAGAGGAATATGGAAATATTCGACACCAAATCAACTGCCACACTATTTACCACATGGATTGCGGAGATGAGAACAAAGCTGAATGTGCAGGTCGAGAGGCACATAATTCCGACCATTAACTTCTCCAAAATATCAAATCGTCAACGCAAGCCACAGCTATCTGCGATAAATTAAACAGTCGGAACCAGGTTTTCAAGGGGAACCTTGGATAATGAAACCTTCTTGACCTGTTAGAAAGCAATAGGCCGGTCTCTGGTTAGCTATGTGGATGCAATGCGATCTGCGAATACGAGTGCAAATCATTCACACCTTCCAAAATACTGCCCTGAGGACTGCAACAGGGTGCCTCCTCATGATTCCTGTGGACCATTTACATGAGTAGTCGAAGGTTCTTCCCTCACTTCAGAATAATCAAATGCTTTCGAATTCAGAAGCATTTTTCGTATACCCACTTTATTTCGATTCTTTATAGTATTAGAGAAAACTAATGTTATATGTGTTCAGCTTAGTTTCACTAATATATTTTAATATAATTTTACACCGCTGTCGTCATTGGATTTTTTTTAATTTTTGTAAAGTTGATGATGGGCTGAAGCCGCTGAAAATCGAAATGCCCTTTTAATCGAAATCGTTAGTTTCCATCAAGGTGCTGAAGTTTGCTCTATTCCATAACCTGCATGAATCTACTAATTTTACAATTTTCTTAGATATCGTAAAGGTTATTACATTGTTATAGGTTCTGGAAAAGATCAATTATTTTAGAAGTTATGACCAAACAGCCAACAATTTCGACATTTTGCTTGTTTAATAGTTAGTTAGTTAACTGCATATTTCTCGACTATTATCGGCAATTGTTCTTTTTAGTTGTTTATCAATCCCGAAGTAAACGAACATTGTATGTAAAATGGCGACAAAACTGATATAGTCGCATTGTCTGTAATGAACATAAACACTCATTGCATCTGATGAAAATTCAACGATAGAGCTAAATACTGTGCTTGTTGCAGCATTGATCTTCCAGGCTGGCAGAAGTGTTTATGAAGTTTAGAATACATCACTCTAACTATTACAATTCAAAAATTTCAGGAGAGTGAATAATCTAGTTCCACAACTACAGTTGGTTGACAATCTGTTACACATATGTACATAGATATGTAATTAGAATTTTCTTCTTAATTTTACTTTATTTATTTATTTTTTTTTTTTTTTTGCATATTAGGTACTTTTCCATTTTTTTTTTTACAACAATTGAAATTCATGTATCGCCAAATATGCTTTTCAAATTCACAATGTAATTTTTTATACCCTCCACCATACTATGGAGGGTATATTAATTTTGTCATTCCGTTTGTAACTCCTTGAAATACTCATGTCAGACCCAACAAAGTATATATATTCTTGATCAGCGTAAAATTCTAAGACGATTTAGCCATGTCCGTCTGTCTGTCTGTGTGTCTGTCTGTCTGTCTGTCTGTCCGTCTGTCTGTCTGTTGTAATCACGCTATCTTTCGAACAAATAGAAATAGAATGCTAAAATTTTGCACACATGTATATTTTGCCAGTAGGCAGGTTAAGTTCGTAAATGGGCCATGTAGGTCCAAGAAATCATATAGCCCCCATATAACGGTACCTCCCGATATTCGGTATTTTGATGATTTTAGCGACATTGTTTACCGGAATCGTTTCAAAGTTGGTATTTGAAGTTCGTAATGGATACTACAGCCTAAGACAGAAAATAATCTATGTAGGTCCACGTCCTCATATAGCCCCCATATAACGGTAGCCCCCGATATTCGGTATTTTGATGATTTTAGCGACATTATTTAGCGAAATCGTTCCAAATTTGGTATTTGAAGTTCGTAATAGATACTGCAGCATAAAACAGAAAATGGGCCATATAGGTCCAAGTCTTCATATAGC